ATGAAAGCTCAACAAGGATTCATCTTGGTCGCATGGCGAGGCGCTAAGAGCCTATTTGTACAAATCTACAATCATAGCATCAAGCCAATCTCAATTGGACTTCCGGTGAGGCCAACTTACGAATCCCTTATCTTTTCTCTCCAAACGAAATAGAAGCTATTCCAACATCATTCTATCAAAGGGTGTTTAGAAATCCAATTTTTCTACAGGTCTGAATGACGTTGTGTGACAAAACGCCAGACCATCCCGTTCGATGAGCTGATGTGACTAGAGTTGGCCTGAAATTGAACTCCCATCCAGCCTGGATGTGAATAACTTTTGGAAAGCAAGTTAAACTTGAAATTAACTGTAAAAATAAACCCCATTCATTTGATAAAGGTTGTTTGACCTCTTTTTCGCAACTTGGTCAAATTGGTAGGAAGACTTAGAGGAACACACCTAGTCCGGAGTCCATTGGCTGCATGATCATTTTCAAAGTCGGACCGTGGACGTGACACATTTCCAAACGTTTCGTAAGGAGTGTGATCAGGGTTGGCTAAATCAGCTAAAAAGGGCACACCTGGAATAGGTTTAAATAAACAACTACGAAATTGTGGCCGTGAATAGGTGATACGAGGATACAGGATCGGTGAATGCGGCTGGACAGCAGAAGAGATACCACAACTGTTTAGCAGACAATTGGTTAGAAAAACAACATCCCTTGTCTCTGTGACGAATTATGGTGCGGTGCTACGACTGGCAAGGCTCAATGACGATGCCGGAGAAACTTGTGCGAATGTACCAAGTACACGATCCGACTCGGGAAATCAGCATGGATACTATAGACCCCGGACAAACTGCGTTCCTTTATAGGCCGTCCTGACGACACGACCAAGCTGCAAAAAAAGGTCAAGCAACTTCTATCTCTCCTTTATCACCTTACGTGATCCAGGGTCAACAAAGACTCGGCCAAGTTGTGCTTCACTAATTAGCGATAGTCTCGACAACGTTATGCTCCCTCACCTCGGCACTAACGGGCATACGTCGGCTTCGACGTTGAACCGCTGCCGCATGCAGAGGTCCGGTGAATCCGTGACGTTGGGCGTCAGCGTTCGAGAGTGAACAACACACGTGAGAGTTGTGCTCATCTGGTGGATTTTCAAACGCAAGTCTACCCGCCGATCGATAATGATGACCATTTTAGCTTGACTAACCAATTGTTGAGAGATTTTGAGGCCTGTTCCAGCCGACTACACTCGAACTGGTTGCCACAAGCTATCTGATCCCAACAAGCCCAGATATGCGGGAGATCTACTGAAGGTGTCGCCCATTTCGGACGTTATCAACACTCATCTGAGCCCAACTTCAAGCGTCAGTCTTCCGTCCAGCCGAGCATCAGTTTCGGACTTCTCGACGTGTCGCCGGCGCCTTCACAGACTCGTTGCTCCTGCTGACCGGTGTGCTTACATGCCAGCTTCAGCATAATGGGCGCCCTTTGGTCTAAGCTTAAACGACCAAGTCCGGAGCCGGACAGTAAAACTGACGAAAAACAAGGTGAAGAGTCGCAGGCCAGAGAGGCCCGACTGGCAGTCGACCAAGCACGACACGAGAGGACTGTCTCGAGGCAGGATGAGGAGAGGGAGAAGGAGGAGAGGCTGCGTCGTCATGACGACGAGATACGAGAGCGTAAACTGGCGAAGGAGTTGAGGGACTATGAGCTGAAGGAAAAGGAGCGCGCGAAACGGGAGCAAGCGGAGCGGGAGCAAGTGGAGCGGGAGCAACGGGAAAACGAGAAGCGACAACCGCGGATGGAGGAAATTGAGACTGTTGAGGAGAGCTTTGACGAGTCGGCAATCTACGCGAAAGGCACCAAACGTTTCCAGCCAGTGGCCGATGGTCTGGTCGACTTTGTCTCTGCCGGCGGCGATCTCTCAGTCCTGTTGAACAGCTACAAAGTGCCGCGAGACTGGGACCAGAATCGAGCCCAAGAGTTCCCGTTGGGCTTGTTCGAGGTCGATCGGGAGGGCCAGACCATCGTCACCTCGACGATCTACCTGCCCGATGACAATCCCGGCACTAAACGCCATTTTCTCGCCTTCTACGGCCTTCAGGTGCACTACATCACACCGCCCGACTTCCTCGAATGGTGCGCCCAGATGGAGATGCACAACACCGTCAACGACTATCTCTCCTTTTATCACCTCTCGAAGTTCTGCAGCTCCGGCAGCACCATTCTGCGAGGTCTCTTCAACGCCCCCGGCTCTCTGGGCATTGAGATGAGCGACCGGTTTGTAGTCGCCCGAGGCTCGGTCAGGGCGGTCCGTTTCCTGGCCATCGACAAACGACACGCCAGCATGCTGACCAACCAATACCTCAACTCCATGAAACGCGACATGGAGATAGGCACCATACGTTCTCACGAGTACAGATTCGACGACTAACTGTACCACCTGTCAGGCCGTTGGATCTCTCTCTCTTTCGCTGTGTCCCAATCTTTCTCGCCCTCTCTCTCCTACTCTCTTTCTCTCTCCGCTGCCTGGACTAACCAGCCAGGGTCCCCAACCAACCGGCAAGAAGTTTTAGCTCCAGACTCAGTGTCTAATAGAAAAATTACAACAACAACAATCCTCGTAGATACCATCTCTTCCGCTGCAACACTGCATTTTAGTCGCATCCTTTGGCCCACATCCCATGCTCCTCCAGTCTTGGCCGGCGACTACATCTCTCGATCGGATTAGCATCGTTTTCCTCTGAGACGCCCCTTTTCTCCAGAATCATGCGCTGGGCATGGCTCAAAGCTCACCTGTTCTTCCCCATGGAAATAAACAATAATCATTTGGCCAAATCGTCAACCTACAAAAAAATTAACTCTTCAGTTTAGTCAAAAATTTCAGATCTTCCCGCATCTGTGCTAGACTTTCATTTGTGATAGTCTCTTTAACATTATAATTTATTTCTACTGGTACAACTACCGAGTAAGCAGCCTCTTTATTTTCTATTCAGTTACCCGTATTTTTCAGTTTAAGCAATAATAATAACACTATTATTGTTATTATAAATATCATTATTAAAGGGTACAGAATATTTTAATTTTGGCACTCGTTATACTGCAACAAATTCTTCAGAGAAGGGTGCTTATACACCAACATCTATTTTTCCGGTGTACACATATGTTCTGTAAATGTCTGTCCATCTTATGCATTTGATGGATATTATCACTAATCAGCATCTTCACTAAAATCTGCTTTAGGCTCGTGATCAGCATCAACGTCTTTTTTTATCCTTTTCCTGGCAAATTGATGGGTTATGTGCAGGTTCCAGCCTCGGCCAGGACCTAAGGATGCTTCGAATGCGTCGAATCTGGATCCCGACTTCCCTTTATATCAATTGCAAAACCCTGAACGCGCCAATTGAGTATCCTTTACGTCACAAGGTGAACTCAGTTTCTGTACCACACCCTCGTTTTATTTAGGCTTGGAACCAGGGAACTTGCACATAATCCTGAAAATCCTTTAGAAACAACTGTATTAATCCAAGTCGTATACGCTGATGAAGAAACGATTTGAGTAGGCCTAAGGACGCCCTTGAATTACACTTAGTCGTACGTTAAAGTATTCTGATTCCATTATTTTCTTAAATTTATTTGGAATGAATCAAGGGGAATCTCAACTTTAATCTAAGGTAGTAACTTGTCCACTAAACACAGTTTTCCTATTAAAAGCCTTTAAACAAATCCTTGCTGTAGGCCTCATTATGCTAGCCTAAATTCAAAACATATACTTTGAAAAGAAGCAGGCGTCCATTAGATTCTGTTAAGTTTCAAAAATCATAACATGTGGGACGAAAAAGGAATGGTTTCACAAAATATTTCGCCTGAAAAGGGCTGAATTGTCTAACTTAGCCACAATGAAATCATGGTTAATAAAAATATTTGATTAAAAAATATATCCAATGCATCCAAACTAAAATATTTTCCCGATTCCCTGTAGATAAATGCCTATCCAGGTACTGGATGAAAGTGTCAAAAATTGACAATCATATGTGCAGATTCATGTTTCCATTGAATTTCGCATAGCCTTGCATCCCAAAAGTTATTTTTATTTAGACAGGGACAAGTTCAGGCGAGGCCGAAACTGCAGTCAACTCCTGTCTGTATGAGAATACCTTTTAAGAAGCAAATCTATGTGAAATAGAATGGAAACTTGGGGCATATTCCTATCATTGTGGGAAGATTAAACTACCAGTCCTTCATCACCTCAAAAGAAATATGGTAAATAGATCCTATAAATACTTTATCACGCCAATAGGGAATCGCTCCAGACAGGAATACCGTAACATCTCTCAGTCTAGTGATTTATACATAAAATTCTATCAACTATTACATTATACAAAGATATCAGGAGTAGCTGAATTTCAAGGAATGTGATTTCCCTTTTCATTTCTAAGCAAAAGTCGACTCAAAGGAATTCGTAAATTATTCTCCCTATAAACGGGGAAGGAGATTGTTCAATTGTGCGAACAAGTCCTTGACTCATTGCTCTGCGATCCCAAAGGACCCATGCCATGATACACAATACCAGAGCAAGAAAGTATTCTTTAGGAAAATGGGTACCAATACACTAAACCCAGAGAGAGGGTGGCAGGCTAAAGACCGCAAATAAGAATTCAATTTTTGGATCTAAATGAGGTGTCATATGATTTTTTGGTAATTTAATGCCTACCCATAATGTTTTCGGGTGGTTGGAGTTGATTAATGACAGGCAAGTTGATGCTGTAGCGGCTGCTGTCGCGACTACTTCTAAGCATAGATAAACCAGCATTAGATCCTGATATGTTGAGGCATGCTTAGGCATGTGGTATTGGGTAATGAATGTAGCCAATGTATAAACAAACTCGAGGCCATGTAAGCCTCCTTCTCTTACTCGGTGGTTCTTCATTTTCACACATTCTATCTTTCTTCTTAAATCTATTCAACAGCCATAAATGGTTCCCGCTCAAGTACCTTAACTCATTCCTCCTATTCACAATGTTGCTTTGGATGTGAAGTCCCGTAGCCTTCACAATTTTGTGTTTTGGACCAATCTATTTCGTGCCCTGTATTGCCCATATGTTAATCGAGTTCAGATTTTTCAATCCATATACCTTAAAAGCGTTTCTGTGTTTAGATGCTCTCTTGTCAATGAATCGGCTGGGCTCATAAGGACAAAACTTTGTTACGTCTTGCTCTAAAGGGAGGGCTCCAAAATTCTCAAAAAGAAGTTATTATGCAGGAAAGTGTTAAATATATTTATTTATTGTTCTAACGTTCCATTTCTTCAGTAGTCCACCTCTAAAGGAAGGTATTATGGAAGAAAGTGTTAATTTTATTTATTTACTGTTCTAACGTTCCATTTCTTCAGTAGTCAACCTAACATTTTCCTACTCTGTCAGGACGACAAAAGTAGGAATTTGGTCAAGTGATCTATCTGCCTATCCCGCCCCAAATAACAATTCCCTATCATTCCATTTATGTGTATTATCAAGTAATTATCTATTAATCCCAATGGTTAATTAGTTTGAATTAATATATCCCTCAATCTACAGATTGCATGGTCCCAGCACGTTCCATCTGTTAGACGCATACTCCTTTGAGCCCACATACATGCTTAGGAAAGAGGTTATTAAGAAAACCCGCATATGCAGATTTACTCTACACATCTCTACTCAACGAATTACCTTATTTTCTGACTAGGACATCTATAAATGTTAGTTTATCCTCCTTTTCCAACTTTATAGTAAGTTTAGTGATCCCATCCAAAATCACACTTTTATTAGGTTAGTATGTTTGCTACAGATTTTCGTAATTTATTGTTTCTCATTCGGACGATGTCTCTGACGGTATGGCAAACGAAAGCTCAGCACAGGTTAATAGGAGTCCCAGGACTGTGAACTGAGGACTCCTTCAAGCAACCAAACAGTCTACATTCCAAGGTGATCCTGATTCGTTTCTAGATCAAGCCAATTCACTAATTCCTTCAAATTAACTGTTTCTTCGAAATAAAAATTTGAATTACACTATATCCTTATGTCCCTGCCCTAAAATTTGCTCACTAGCCATTAAAGTTGGCAACGGAAAGTTGTTTTTTGCATGTAAGTAGAATTTAGAGACTACGAGCAAATCAGTAATATGAGATGTGTTCATCCAATTTCGTTTAAAGTGATGAAAGACTGGTATTAGAATTTCCCCACAATGATATGAGTAGAGTTGACGCTTACATTTAATTTCACATAGCCTTCCTTTCCCAAATTTGTTCTCATCCAGGTTGGACTGCGGTTTAAACCTTGCATAGGTCTTATCAAAACCCTAAAGCGGGATTCGAACCGTGATAGGGCAGAATGTGAGCTTGACTCTTTAACCACTCGGCCACATTGCCACGAGTGTCCTTAGGTCACATGGCGGATGCGAATTTCAAGGAAGGCCAGGCCTTTTCGCACATCACATTCTTTGGTGCGATTGTCGATGAAACAAACTTATTTTTGCTATAACTATGTTACGTATTTTTCGTATGTAAGTAGAGTTTCGAGACTACGAGTAAATCAGTAATATTAGATGTATTCACCCTAGTAACCCAAGGGCATTCGTGGCAATAGAGTGAATACATCTCATATAAAAGTGGTGTAGCCTGTATCTTGGTTGCAAACCCCTTTCGCAGAATAGAAATGGTTTGACCTCATTTGTGCAATTCGGTAGTACTACCAGAGCGACCCAGATGAGGGCACTTCGTCTGCAGTCATCCGCCAAAATAGACATGATGATTTCCAGTGTCGAATTGTGGGCTTGAAGCATTCCAACACATATAAAGCCTTCTAATGATGCGGGTTTCGAAACTGGTGAAACGTTTAGAGGTGGACCAAGGTCACGGTTTCCCTATATTGCCCTGACAACAAGACAAACCAACTCTAAGGGCTTGTGCTCCGCCATGGGCTACTGTGTTACCGTTCGCACCTGTCAGCTGCCAGGGCAACAAAGTGTCAAGACTAGTCCAAAGGAGGCGTTGACACGGGGATAAAACATTCCGAAAAAAAGATTATAATGATCATGAAAATTAGAGTAGAGCGCAACTATGCTGTGAGAAGTGAAACGCAGTTATGCAGCGTCAAGGCGAAGCTTAAGAATGCTGAGAAAAATTGAAACAAGATGCCGTGGCACGAAAATACATCATGATGGGGGTTAATGTGCAATCAGGAAATAAAGGTCAAAAACGAAAGTTGAGTTTTAAGGAAAAACAAGATTATA